AGCTCGCGGAAGGGATGGCCGATCGCGCCTACTTCCGACGCGTGCGCGAGGCCGCCAGTCGAGAGGCCGCGGGCTTGCCGCGCACTGCTCCCGTCCAGCTGGGTCGGGATTGGCGCAAAACCTTGCGCGCCGTCCTGCACAACGCTGAGGTCTCGACGGGCCTCGCCATCGCAGAACGTGCCGCTCGTGCTGGGGACGCACCCGCGTCGTCCACTGGCCGCTCCTTGGCCGAGGTGGAGGCTGAGGACCCGCGCGCCTTGGCAAGGCCCGCCGACGACCCTGCGTCCAGCTTCAGCCGTCGTGAGCGGCGCGCGGTCCGCGCCCGCCTGGGCCCGCGGGATGAAGCGGTCGAGGACCAGCCCAACCGCGGTGGTCACGCGCCGCACTCCGCCTCGCGCACGGGCGCCGCGCGCACCAGGCGCGCCGCCAGGCAGCGGCGGGCTTCGATGGCGGCGCTCCCCGCCCCTGAGGGGGGGGCCGCCACGGCGCCTGGCCGCAGGGCGCGTCGCACTGCCAATGCGCGCCGCTGGGCAGGCGCGGCACGCCCCAGCTCCGCCGCGGGAGTGGGCTCCCCACCGCGGAGCCGCAGCCCTGCCCGCAGCCGTACGCGGTCTCCAAACCCGTACGGGACCGACCGCACCTCTCCCTCGGGGGGCTGCTCGTCGCCTCCCGTCGACGGCCCGATCTCGCCCGAGGAGCCGTCGGAGCCGCCTGCGGGGGAGGCATCGGAGGGCCCGCACACTCCTGACGGGCCCCCGCCCGCGAGCGTTCGCAGCCGCTCGAGAGCGGAGCCCGCGTGCGACGAGGACTCTCCGACGGAGCTCGAGGACGTCGTGCTGAGTGCCCTCGCAGACTCCTCGATGGACCTCGAGCGCGTCGTGGCGGGCCTGAACCCCGAGGTCCTCCGCCGCCTGCAGGCGGCCTTCCCTCGCCGCTCGGGGGCCTCTCCGCCCGCCGCTCGCGCCTCGGTTCGCAGTCGCTCTCGGGGCCGCGGCACGCGTGTAGGCTCCGAGACTCCGCGGCCCGTGCCCCCGCCGCCGCCGCCGCCCCCTCACCACTCTGGTGGGCGTGCGGCGTCGCGATCCCGCGCGTCGACCGCAGGCCAGGGGCTTAGTCGGGCCGTCGCGCGCGGCTCCTCTCGCGCGCCTTCGCGTCAGGCGACGTCGCCTCGGCGTCGCGAGGTGCGCTCCCCTCGAGTCGCTCCGAAGCGGCGCCCGAGCCCCGCTACTGCGCAGCGGCCAGCCACGTCCCGCCATGGTGCGAGCTCGGGCGACGCCCACGCAGGCAGCTCCCGCGCGGACTCCGCTGCTCAGGCCCCTCAGTCTTCGGTAGGCACGCGCTCCTCCAGCGATGCTGTTGCGGCCCCGCAGGGCGGAGGGCGTGCCGCCGAGGAAAGGGGGTCTTCGAGCGGCCCCGCGCCTGGCCGAGATTCAGGGCACGAGCTGCATCCCAGCGGCTCCCACAGCGGCGACGCTGGGAGCGCCGCGGCTGCAGCCTTCGCAGCGCGGCGCACGGCCTCCGCGGCCGTTGAGCAGCCCTTGCCTCCAGGGGCCGCCACCGCCCTAGCGTGGCGTCTCAACCTCGGCGGTGAGAAGGTCACAGTGGTGAGGTGGGGACCCGCCTGGCAAGCTGCCTTCCAGAGCGCGGCGTCGTGGCTGAGGTCTTTCGCACCCGCAGGGGCCGCCGAGCCCGAGGGCAGAGATGACCTGCACTGCCTCCTGCAGGCCTTGCACGCCTATAAGCGCCTGTTTCAGACAGGCGGCGCCGAGCCGATCGACGAAGCCTCGTGGTTGCATCCTTACGTGGCCGCCGTCGAGCCCGAGGCTATCCCCGCGGGCGCTGACCTCCAAGCCATGGGGGCGGGCGCCATCCGTGGCATCGGGCTCGGCTCAAAGATCGAGCACAGGAGGCGCGCGGGCAAGTTGGCCTGCCTTTTCGACCTTCTGTACCACGTGCAGGACGGTCACGGCGCCATCCCAGCAGCGCTGTGGGGATCTCATTCCCCTCCGTCCGAGATCCTCGACGCGTTCGCGGAGGTGGTGCCCGTTCCACATCATTCGGGCCTCACGTCCTCGGCAGCTCGTTCCGAGCTCGCCGAATCGGCCGCAGCTGCGCGCGCCGAGCCGCGCCCGCCCTTTGACTGGGCGACCCTCGAGGGAGGGGGCGCTCTGCCCGCCGAGATCGAAGCAGGGGCTCGCCGTGCTCACCGTAACATGGGCGGATCCTTCACCTCGGCGCGGGCGATGCTGGCGGAGGCGTCGGGGTTCGAGACCGACGGGCGGGACACCCTCGTTCCGCCCTTCTACGCGTCCAGGAGCAGGAGGGCCGCCACGCTGATCAGCTCTCCCAGCCCTGGCCGCCCTGCGCTCATCCTGTGGTGCGTCTGCGGCCTCTGCATCTCTCTGGGAGCCGCGGCGCCGACCGCAGGCCAAGGGCTTAGTCGGGCTGCGCCTTCCGCGCCCGCTCGCCCTCCGCGCACTCCCTTCGTGCGCGATTCTCA